ATAATTTTTACTGTTTTAACGTCATCCATATAATGACTTTTCTGCTTTTCAAATTCGTCATTTTTTCTTTGCTAAATGTCTATGTCTGCAGCAGAATAGTAACAATCTTTCACATGAACATGGAAACATGTTCAGTGACTGCTATCTATATCCGAGTCTTCCACATGCTCCTGAGTCCAGTAAACAAAATTCATCTTTTGAACATCAAAATCACCTTTAGGAGTATAGAGTAGGGATAATTTTTACTGTTTTAACGTCATCCATATAATGACTTTTCTGCTTTTCAAATTCGTCATTTTTTCTTTGCTAAATTATAAATGTCTATGTCTGCAGCATAATAGTAACAATCTTTCACATGAACATGGAAACATGTTCAGTGACTGCTATCTTAGTCTTCCACATGCTCCTGAGTCCAGTAAACAAAATTCATCCTGAACATCAAAATCACCTTGAGGAGTAGGGATAATTTTTACTGTTTTAACGTCATCCATATAATGACTTTTCTGCTTTTCAAATTCATCATTTTTTCTTTGCTAAATTATAAATGTCTATGTCTGCAGCAGAATAGTAACAATCTTTCACATGAACATGGAAACATGTTCAGTGACTGTTATCTCAGTCTTCCACAGTCCAGTAAACAAAATTCATCTTTAACATCAAAGTCACCTTCAGGAGATAAGGAGGGAATAAATATAAGAAGGGAATGAAGTAATAGTAAGGGGAAGAGTTAATAATATAGATAGTTGATGGGTTGAATGAGTTTGGAGGCATTTAGCATGATCAGAGGGGTTTAATTATTATTTAGGGAGATAAGTGCTGCATTTGTTAATGATAATAATATGTGAAGGTTTTTTTGTTGTCCATGAATCATATTATTAATTATAGAATAAGAAAAACAACAATAATAATAAATAATAATAATACATAATAATAATAGAACATCTCTTTTACAATCAGCAGACATGAACTTTTAGTGAATAGTTAGTAATTGTCCGGAGCAAAGCGAAGGACTATCTACAAAAATTCGATCACATGGATTTCTCTGTGCGGCACATGATCTCGACCAATGATTGTAATTGATGTAGTACTATAATTGATGATGATGACGTTATTAGAAGACCGCGATTTGTACGACAATAACGAGACATCAAATACACGCCCTCTTCATGCTCAAGCTAATTGTACCGCTCATACATATACGTATAACTCTGGACCGTTGCGCATGCATCACTCTTCTCTAAGACGTAAACATAACGAATAATTCTTTGCTGCACGACACATTGCATACTAATGATAATAATGACATAGGGGCTATCTTGCTTACCACAACGCTTCGCGTCAAATCAGTCTCCCACCGTATTTCCAGCGCAATGATACGGTGTCAACAACACCGATTATTGCCGAGCCTGATTTCCGCCTAGTATAAGTATTATGACGGCCCGAGGATTTTGTCAGGAGATCCGATGATAGCATAAGGAGATCGAGGATGATGGGAATGAGATAGAAGGGTATGAAACATGTATGCTGACACAGAGGCAAATAGTTGCTGTACGTGGAGTATTGCCCGCAGGTATTGTGGTTGGCGTCCGTTCCATTCACATCTGTTGGTAGAATACAGCAAAGTTAGTGCGAGACTTGTTACGTTTTTTTCTAACTCTTCCCCATCGACAAACATTTTTTCAACACAACATAGAATATCGGGACGTGCAAGTGACATCGGATCTCATATTGCACAGGGATGCTACTTGTACGATATGGAAGAAGTGGAGGGGTCGAGAATGTCTCTGTGTTATTGGATGAGGACACAATCATGGTCTCTTCAGCGAAGCTTATAGTGAACTTGATATTACCCGAAGGTGCGAAGTAAGGACGTGTGAAAGATTTAAGGAAGAAAGCGACGCGGTAAAACCATTTTGCAAACTGTTTACATATCATTCTCGCGTATTTTCTAGAGATGTGCAAGTCCATCTTCCCTTTAAAGTCGGAAAACGAAGCCATGGCATACGCAGAACCTATCTCGACATTATTGGTGACGATTGAAGCGTGTAATTGGTTGATGAACCAAGTAGCCTATGCCTATGATTTCGATGAGCTATTCAGAAAGTCTTTATCGGCTTCGACATTTTTCTTAGGGTTGTTCTATTGAGTGCTATTTATCCTCGGGTTGGAGTTTAATATTAAATATAAGAAGACGCGTGCGGAGGAGGACTTGAAGGAGCCGAATTCAATGAAGAATGTGAACTATAAGGATACATATAGCAACGTGTATAGAGGAATCGAGATCTGTCATTACAAACTATGGGTTCCATGACATGATAGGGACGGCTATTATTTGACAGTCAATTGCGTATTTACGCATTTGTTAACAGCGTCACTTCCAAATGATGACTTTCCAGGTGCATTTCAATTATCGACAATTCAGGTATTTAGTGCAGATGGCCTTGTATGATGATGCCATATTAAACTGGACGACTTTTTAAATAGGTTATTCTTTCGCAGACGTGGTTAACAACAATCGCCAATTACCAAGCAATAATTAATGTAAAGAAATATCTGATGTACATTTACTCAGTCAATTACCGCTACCCTCATCTTACTGACGTGTCATTTGCTACACAGGACGTAATTCAATGACTATTCCCACCGAGCCATAAGATTCTCATATAATTGAGCCTACTCTGACGAATCTAAATGGAGCGATCAAGTTTTCCTCTGACAGCACAAAGCCCATTGTGTGCGATGTACAGAATAACACGAGAAAGAAATTGCTTTATATCTCCTCAATACGGAATTGGACATTGGAAAAAAGGGATCTTTCGGACATTTACGATAAATTTACAAATTGCCTGCAAAGCATATATCACCCATGGAATCAGGTGAAATTTTTGAAAAACTCGCTACTCGAGACCATTTTATATGTGTGGAGAATGTGAGTATAACTGTATTAGATTAATCTCTTACAAACGCATTTACCTAATCCTAATTTCTTATTGTTTGCGCTCTGGAAAATACGTTATATTAACGCATCAATTTATTTCTTAGTGGAAACTAGCATCACTCTGGTTGATATCTAAACGTGAACTGACATTCGATTCCCGGAAGATGTTTTCCTTCCTAAATGTTTACAAAGAACCGGCCGTGTTTGCCCTTTTTCATAGCAAAGAAAGTTAGTAGCATGGACCTCAGAAGAAGCACTTACGATCTTTTCATGTGAAGTTGGTGCCGTGCAAAGACGAACCCCGACACCAAATTTGCGGGTGAGACAAACATAATATGGATTGGGGGAGGCAATTTGTAATGATAGTCAACGCAACTGATGGGATGCAAATACGGGACGTTCGTACTTGTGCGGCCGTTACTGAGGATTATGTAGATATAGAGCCAAATTCAGTATTCCAACCAACGGGCACCGGTTCGTACGCCAACTATAGCAAGCAGTTGCCATCAATCAGCAAAGCCGATGTACCTACTTTACCTGACTATAAAATCGTCGCTGTCGCCACCGGGAATGCTCGGGCCAGGGGCTGGGTAGATGCAGAGGATTATGACTATCACACTGAAGTTGATAGTGATGAAGAGAACGGATGGGAAGCCGAATGAAGATGTGATGAAAACCGAATTGACAATTGACCAAATTCTCTTGTATCAAACTGAATCGGGGTCGTATGGAACTTGATGCTCATCTTGCTACTTTTCTTGGATACGAGTCAGTGGAAGTAGTAGGAGAAGAACGTTCTTGTTCTAACCTTTGCTTACGGTCTTAGGTGGCGAATCTTGTAAATCACGTGCTCAATTAACTGCTTCTAATTGGCGGAAAGAGTCATTAATGCGCACTCAATTCTCGTCACCGTCATGCTCCAAATTCGATGATAATGTCTGTGTCACGGCAAGCCTTTTATGTTACTTTCAGGGTGCAATGGCAAATCAGCGGGACATATCAATATTGATTGATACTTGTGAAAAAGCGTTCACCTGGTTAGAAACGCGCATTGGCGACGAGAATGTCGTGAATGAACTTCTTGAATCAGCGAAAACATTTGTCATTGGCGGAGGTCTTCTTATCCTTACAGTCACGCCTAATTGTGTCAGGAAATTTTCAGAGGGCAGGAATTGGGTTCAATCGAAGCTTTCTGTTACCATTGTCGACGCCTCCGAGAATAAAATCGCCAAAATAATAACGGCAACTGAAAGCGTACATTATGTTCCCCTGTCTGGATCGAGTGACAAGATTATTTTCCGTGGCGACGAGAGGTTTATATTTCGTGCTGTTCATCTTGGTTCCTACGAGCCGCGTGTCAATGAGCTGTTTACAGAGAATCGGATTGGAAAGATAAATATAAAGGACTTTGATAAATGGGAGAGCGAAATTCACATAGAAGCTCAGTTCATCCCAATGGCTTGTCTGACATTTGACAAGAACTTTACTTTCAGCGA